AAGATTCTTACCAAAAAAATCAACGATCAAAAATTAAAAATGAGAGGGAAAGTACAAACATCTAGATATGGTAAGTTAAAAAAAATATTCAAAATTTATTTTAATAAATTGAAGTTTATGTTAAGTACGTTAAAATTAAGTTCAGCTTGTAAAAGGTTTTCTAATGGTATAAACAGGCAATATTATACTTATATATAACAATATCCAATATAAAAATGCCGAACACGAAGTGAATATCGGGGAATATTTACCGAGCGCGAGTCTGTCTTTCCTTACTGAGATGCGCGCGCATGCAATCGGATTGAGCAGTTACTATCCAACGATTTCGCCAAACGATAAACTATTCAATTGACATACTTATTTTGACCTACTACTGATGCAATTTTTTAATTGTCTATTGCTCAGGGTTAGTCTCATATTCACGTGTTCCAGTGAAGGTCCGTGGGATTTCAAAAGTCATCGTATTGTCGAATTTTAGCTTACTTAACGCTGTTGATATTTCACACTAGGATTTTCTAGCCTTGATCTGCTCGGCATGATTTCGAGACAGCCAAGGCGCGATAGTTTAAATCCAATATGGCGTCTCGAATGCTAAATAATTTGTCAAGCCTAAGCTCAAACTTAATTCAACGATTTGCTGCAAAGGAAAAATCAGAGGTTTACGATTCAATTTGGCAATATTTTGACGATGAAACGACCTTGCGGCTGACCCTAAGAACACGAGTTTGCAATTAACGATAGCAGCGGTATCTTCGATCGATAAGGGAAGCACGGATTAATTGCGTGCGCAGCTAATGCGTCGCTTCTCACCAATGCGACCTGGGTTCTAGCCCTGCGGGATTCATTGTCGTATGTGATTAGAGTTGTTTGTTGGTTCTCTCCTGTGCTTCGAGGGTTTTTCTCCTGGTTCTCCGGTTTTCCTCCCTCCGCAAAAATCAACTCCTAAATTCAAATTCAATCTTTGGGCTTTCACCTAGTTAGAGCCTAGCTCTGTTGTAATATCCAACGCTGTGATACAACAGCTAAAGCTCTTATTTTTTAAATAAGTCCAAATTAAAAGTTCTATTTAAATAAAGCCTTAACAAATGTTTTCCGGATGAGAATTTTCGCTGAGTAAGTGTTCATAGATAATACTTTATAAGTTTCGTTACAAGTGCATCCATCAAATTAGCGCAAAATCAGACCCATTTCAATCAATGAATTCAAGAAACCATTATGGAATTCTTATTGTTATCTCATTAGCTGGTAAGTGTATTATGACAAGCGATGGTTACAGATTAGCCGCCAAGGTGTCTACGTTGAAGAGAGTTTCAGTCAAGTGCAGGAAAGCTCAAAAGTAGCAATGCTATGGATTCAATAATAACGTCAATTTTCCCCCAAAGTTTTTCATGGTTCTTCCTGCCTTACCATATATTTCTTTTAAAACTTTTACTTTGAGAAACTATTTTTTGAACCTCAACAAATGCTTAGCCAAATGATCACAAATATTCAGATGATTTTTGCACTGGATATTCTCTTTCGATTCAAACTTTTAATTCATTTTTCCTTGAAATTTATTTGATGATAATTAATCAAAACGAAGATTAAATTAACAATAATAATAATGGACGAATTTGTACATGCTTACATTACACGATATTAATAATACAATATTACACATTTTTATGGGTATAAATAAATAAATATAAATATAAATGTTACACGATGTTATTTATATTTAAAAAGAAAAAGAAAAAAAAAAGGAAATAACTATTATCCAAAAGATAGTGTGCGTCCTCATAAAAGTATAAAAGTACAAGACAGGTGTTTATAAGTGTTAATTTGTGTGCTGTGTGATACTGATAATCATTATAGATAATATAGTTAAGCGTGCTACACCCACACCTAGTTTATAATCCATAACATATTGATATCAACAGGGGAGACTAGGGAGAACGGGGCTGAATTATAAACCCGGGATAGGTTTATAATTACACGAATATATTGTAAGCACTCTATTTCCAAAAGAACAAAGCAACAATAATCTATCTCTCTGAATTCAATATAATTTAGTATTTCGTGTTTTGCATCGAAACAATGGAATTTAGGGCTTAGTTGATATTTTGAACCAGTTCAAACGCACGGGCTCGGTTTTACATTAGAATTCGTTTGAACCTTTATATAAAAGTACAAGACAGGTGTTTATAATTGTTAATTTGTGTGCTGTGTGATACTAATTATAATCATTATAGATAACATAGGTAAGCGCGTGCTACACCCACACCTAGTTTATACTGATCCATAACATACACTCGTAACCGAGTTACCTCCCTTTGCCCGCAACCAAACCACTAAAGACAATATCTAGTATTTGGTTGTTTTTTTGTTTTGTTTTTTATTATATAGATATCGATGAAATACCAGGTTTTCTCTAGTGTCGAAAACTTGATATCTTTCACCAGTGGAAGATATCATATCTTTCACACGTGAAGATATCACTGTTGACATAGTAACGTATTTTAATAAAGAATTTTTGAGCTTTTGTTTTATTTAAGTATCATCGATATCTATATAATAAACAGAACATTACATGGCCGCTTGGAGATACGAATTTTATCTTCTCGTGTTCAATATAGATATCTATAAAACACTCGAAGATAAAATTCGTATCTCCGCGCGCCTATGTAATATCCTCTATATTATATATTATATATTTTAATACAGGATGTCGTTGCCACGTCTCTAGCCCTAGCTAGTTATATACTAATGGTTTTGTATACGACACACTCTCCACATTCACTGTACTACTACGACTTACAACACCCAAGATGAACTAGATAAAGGAGTATATAGTATTTAGTATTTCCGTCGGCAAAAGAAAGACTGATAATTCATCTAGTGCTTTTAAGCCTTTTTTGCTAGCCTTTTTTGATTGCTTTCCCCCCCCCCCCCCCTCCCACCCTAAATGTCACCGATAAAACATGCGACACCACCTCAAAACCCTTAACCACTCCCCTCCAGTAGATAATAGATAAATTATGAACGCTCCCTAACACCTCTGAAAAAAACTCAATTCGCATTTTGTTCTAGCCAGACATCCATGCAAAACCCTCGCCATAGTGTAAGAGACGACACCAATTACTTCTTTGCTCGCCTCAGCTTATTTATTCATCAAGCAAATTATTATATATATATACACTCGATTGCAGAAACGTTGTAGTATACATTTATACATTTATACAAATACCTAATGAGATGTATATTGCAATTTTACTTTTTTAACCCTCAAAACCAGTTGATTTATAATCTGTAAGATGTAAAAAACAAGAATAAAATATTTTGACGTTCATTGAATGAAACAAATAATAATTAAAGCGAGTTTTCTGTTTTGCATATCATTAAATATACTGAATAAATTAGGTATTTGTATAAATGTATACTACAACCTTTCTGCAATCAAGTGCGTATATATATATATATATATACAAAAAACCTTCAGATCAAGAATTGAAATAATTTAATTGTATTTAAGGTTCAAAAGATGTGTCATTTTGCGTTAAAATTGCGTGACTGTGTACTTCAAGTTAGATTGTTTGCTTTTAAGATTAAGCTTAAGAGAATACGAGAAGAAAAGAATGAAATATAGAAAAAAAAATAGAAAACTTTGAAGAAAAAAATGAAAATGGAGAAAGAAAAGTACTTATTTACTAAAAAAAGGAAGGAAGGGATGAATGCTTGGGAAAAATGATTGGATGAATGAATGAATGAACGAACGAACGAACGAAGAACGAACGAACGAACGAACGAACGAACGATCGGACGGACGGGCGGTCGGACGGACGGACGGACGGACGGACGGACGGACGGACGGACGGACGGACGGACGGACGGACGGACGAATGAATGAATGAATGAAAAAAAGAATGAACGAATGAATGAAAAAAAGAATGAACGAATAAATGAACGAATGAATGAATGAAGGAGAGAATAAATTGAAGGAATGGGTGAATGAACTAAAAATTAGTACGAAATGCTGAAATAAAAGGTAAAAACGGAAAATCAAATTAGGGAAATAATAAGTTAGAAAATAAGATAGAAAAAAAAGACGGCAAGAGAGGAGCAAAAAGGAATATTCAATTGATGGCACTAAGATAATATAAATTAGTACTTGGTGTTTGAGTAGGATTTTCTCTTTAATCCTTCCATACCGATTCTCAATAGAATGAACATTTTGAGTGAATAAGGCTCACTTCAGCTGTCTTTACTCGTCACTCTCTCACAGGTATGACACTGGGACTTCAAACTCTTATCTTAACTATCCATTTCTTTATGCCTATAGAACTCTTGTGGTTCATAATAGCTTATCATTGGTTCCTATATACTTTTTCTCAAGATCTTTCCTACCTTTTATTGCTCTAGTTATTCGGGG